CTATTTTAGAAATAACAAAATTGCATTTTTTCATGTTATAGATTTTTTTGACTCTTAATTTCTTTTTCTTTCTATCATTTCCTCTTTCCACTAATCATTTTGTCTCCTTTCCCTTTGCACTTCCCCCTCATGTCTTATGGCCATTTTCCTGATCATCAGTAGATCCTCCAGAAGGCAGGTGGGGGAAGGGAGAGGAAATTAATCTCATTCACAGCATTGCAAGACTTTACTGGTTTTGCATGGAACAAAAGTAAGCATTATTTTTCCTTCAGATCAGAACTGTTGTGTAAGTTTGCAGTGTTTAACCTTAACTTAAACAATTTTAAAGTTGATTTATATATTTCAGAATGTGAATAGGTTAATTTTAATAGAAAAGAAATACCATGGATGTATGTTTCCAATTTCTGTATTTTTCTACTATCTTTGGTATAAGGTAATCTCTATAAAATATTAACCCTAATATTCTGAGAATATGACAGTATTTTTCAGTATCTAATGAATAAAATTCTTTTTTAGTGTTGAAATTCTTTTTCTTCAAAGGTCTGAAAAAATAAAAAAAAAGTAAGAATGAAAAAAAGACATCCTGCTCTCTAGGCTGGGCCATATATTAAGTCACTGGAGGCAAATATTTACTTCTGTAATATTACAACCTTTGACATGACAGAATTGTGTTGGATGTTATGTCATGAAAGGAAAATTTAATAGATTCTTAGGATAAAGAGAATGGTCTGAATGAAGGAAATTTTTTGGAGACATAGTATTACATAACTGAGGGTACTGTTTAGTTTTATTTTCCCCCCCTTAGGATGACTTGTGTCATTAAATGCAGATCATGCAACTCTTAGGCTGTTAACATGGATTTTTTTTCTTTATAGTCAGCTTTTTAGAATACACATACATACATACATATATACAAACATATTCTGTTTTCAAAGTAACAGTAGCAGTTGACTGTGTATCAGATCATAGCTTTTCAACATGTGAAGCAATAGTTATAATCTAACAGCTTCAGTTCATAGCTTTTAAACCCCACATCAGTTAAGATTTTGAAATGGCAGATTCAGACTTTTGAGGAGGTTTTGCTCCCATTTCAGTTCTGGTTAAATTCTTAGATTACCAACAAGTTACTGAGCATTAGTTTCAAAAACCTCAAATTGATGCACGTATGCAAATAATACTTTGGGTTTTGTCATTACACATCCATGTGATAACAGTTCCTGGTATTATTTCTAGTAATGAGGAACTCCCTTCATTTTTTTAAAATATTTTTTATTGATTTATAATCATTTTACAATGTTGTAAAATTCCAGTGTTCAGCACAATTTTTCAGTCATTCATGGACATATACACACTCATTGTCGCTTTTTTTCTCTGTGATTTATCATAACATTTTGTGTATATTTCCCTGTGCTATACAGTGTAATCTTGTTTATCTATTCTACAATTTTGAAATCCCAGTCTATCCCTTCCCAACCTCTACCCCCCTGGCAACCACAAGTCTGTATTCGCTATGAGTCTATTTCTGTCCTGTATTTACGCTTTGTTTTTGTTTGTTTGTTTGTTTTTGTTTTTTAGATTCCACATATGAGTGATCTCATATGGTATTTTTCTTTCTCTTTCTGGCTTACTTCACTTAGAATGACATTCTCTAGGAGCATCCATGTTGCTGCAAATGGCGTTATGCTGTTGGTTTTTATGGCTGAGTAGTATTCCATTGTATAAATATACCACATCTTCTTTATCCAGTCACCTATTGATGGACATTTAGGCTGTTTCCATGTTTTGGCTATTGTAAATAGTGCTGCTATGAACATTGGAGTGCAGGTGTCATCCTGAAGTAGATTTCCTTCTGGATACAAGCCCAGGAGTGGGATTCCTGAGTCATATGGCAAGTCTATTCCTAGTCTTTTGAGGAGTCTCCACACTGTTTTCCACTCCCTTCATTTTTTGAAATCATTGTAACTAAACTCTAAAAATAAATAATTTTTTAAAA